TATTTGTATATTAGTTTTTGCAGGTCAAGAGCGCTCTGTTTATAGACTCAGAGTTGGAAGAGACCTCATGGGCCATTCAGTCCAACCCCCCTCCTAAGAAGCTGTAAAATCACATTCAAAGTATGCCCGACAGATGGCTGTCCTGCCTCTGTTTAAAAGCCTCCAAAGAAGAGCCTCCACCACACTCCACGGAAGTGAGTTCCAGTGCTGAACAACTCTCACAGTTAGGAAGCTTTTCCTAATGTTCAGGTGGAACCTTTTTTCCTTTAGTTTGACGCCATTGTTGCGTATCCTAGTCTCCAGGGCAGCAGAAAACAAGCTTGCTCCCTCCACCCTATGACTTTCCCTCACATATTTATGATTTATGGCTATCGTGTCTCCTCTCAGCCTCCTCTTCTGCAGGCTAAACATGCCCAGCTCTTTAAGCCGCTCCTCAAAGGGCTTGTTCTCCAGACCCTTGATCATTTAAGTCGCCCTCCTCTGGACACATTCCAGCTTGACAACATCTCCCTTCAATTGTGGTGCCCAGAATTGGACACAGTATTCCAGGTATTATGTCTACAAACACCATATGGAGAAGAATCTGAATGAGTTACAAAAGGCATGGGCAAATTTCAGCCCTCCAGGTGTTTTGGACTTCAACTCCACAATTGTGGGAGTTGAAGTCCAAAACACCCTAGAGGGTCAAAGATTGCTCATGCCTGGGTTACAATTATGGGTTTATATTCGACCATTATGTTTCCTGGTTAACAAGGTATGGAGTAAAAGAAAATAGAATTCCGTAGAATTCTGCCTTTGATAGAAAAGTACAGCAATAGAAAATTCTCCATTAGTTAACTTTTCCACAGAAATTTTACATCCTACATCACTGGTTAACAATTAAGGTTTTAGAAGGGTGTAAAAGACTAACACATTTTATGTCATAAATTTTTATGCACTATATCACATCTCCACATATACATGAAGTGTTATCCTTTCTAAGTATATAAAAGGGCAGAACAGATTGTACATCTGATGAATTGAGACAATCAAACAGAAAGATATAAACGAAAGGGTGAGAAAGGCACTAAATTAGCTTCCCCGATCCTGTTGCCCTCCTTATTATATAGTGTGCAACGTGCATCAGTCCAATCCAATAAGCCCAAAAACTATGGGAGGTGTACTTCAAAATATCTGGAAATTTTAATGTTGTTACAAGCTGAGGATATGTGAAGTTTTAAAAGGCTGTTGTACTGGAGAAAATGATGCACAGGTTACTAGTTCATCAACAGTTGACTAACTCATAGTTAGATTCAATATTAGTTTGCCTTGAAATTTGCAAGATGTATTGAGTTTAAGGATATTCAACTTCACACTGTATAGAGGGTGTAATTGTAGGATCACTTTGTCCAAATCTGAAATGCCTTCAACTGTATTTAACATGGATGGGAACATGAAGATCTTGAAAAAAATTACTAGCACTACATAGCTTAGTAGGCCACAGTAATCATGACCACAATGCTCGATGAGAGATTCAGAATAATATATTCCCCAAAAGAATCATTTTTCCCCATTCTGAGCCCCTCGGATGTTTCTTAACTACAACTTATATACCTACGTATCTTCTTAAGTATCTTAGGTATCTTGGGTTCATGGGTTAGCTAGACACTTGGAAACTGGATTCCTTCATTCCTTGGAAACCGGATTACTTGGTTCCTTGGAAACTAGTTTCCTGATGCCCCTTCTACACTGCCATAAATTTCAGATTATCAAAGTAGATAATCCACATTACCCTCTTTGAACTGGATTATATGAGTCTACACTGCCATATAATCCAGTTCAACGCAAATAATCTGGATTTTATATGGCAGTGTAGAAGGGGCTTGAGTTCTTGGGATTCCTTGGATACCGGATTACTGGGAAATTGGGATACTACTTAGATACTTACTTACCACTTTAATTACTTCAGTTACTTTATTTAAAACTAAAGTAACAGAGTAACTTCAGTGTCTTAAGTACATACATGCATATATACATAGATGATAAATGCTTGCATTCCTACATACCTTCTTAAGTAAGTATTTTAGGTATCTTGCATTCCTGAGACACTTGGATACTTGGAAATTGGGTTCCTGTCTTAGGCCCTTTCCACACTGTGCTATAAAATCCAGATTATCTGCTTTGAATTGGATTATATGGCACTGTAGACTCATATAATCTAGTTCAAAGCAGATAATGTAGATTATCTGCTTTGATAATCTGGATTATATGGCAGTATAGAAGGGGTATTAGATGCTTAGATAATTTCCTACTGACTTTCAGATGATACTGAAATACATATAGAGAGCCACATAGAGCCACGTACTTACATAGAGAACCACATACCTACACAGATATAGGCAGTTCTCGAGTTACAAACATCCGATTTAAAAATGACTCATAGTTAAGAACAGTCTCAAGACAACAGGAAGTGAGAGAAATCTATCCCTAGGAAGGGAAATCTACTCCTGGAAGAGTTATCACAGAGAAAAGGTGTCTGCACTGAAGCTTTTTTTCCAATCCTTGTTTCCACAACAAGCCAAAATTTTCAAAATCCAGTTATCACAGGGACAGAAAGTGAGGTGAACTCTTTTGAGCAAGGGCACAGACAAAAAAAAAACCACCACAAGGGTGTTAACCCCTCATTATGGTGTCTGAAGCTTGCAAGCGAGTGTGTGTGTGTGTGTGTATTCTTGGCTGTAGTAACACTTAAAAATGTACCTGTTCTGAATTACATACAACTTCAATTTAAGAAGAAACCTACAGAACCTATCTTGTTTGTAATTTGGGGAGTAGATAGACACAGACATAGAGACAGAGACATACTTAAACACATATTTTCACTTTTAATATATACACTAGTGTAGATACCTGGCATTGAATGGATAAGCTATTTTGCAATGCTATTTATTAGAAATAGTTATTATTTGTTTTAGACTTCATGAATCTATCAGAAAATGTACAACCAAATAATGGGGCAAATTATCCAATCACATGGATGATGAAGTGTAACTCCCATCAGCCCAAGACTTGGTCAGGCTGCAATTCTCATCTGGCCAACTGTAACTTCTATTACACCCACATCTGGTATGGTGTAACTTCCATTACAATGTAGGTGGACTACAACTCCCATAATCCTCTGCCAATCACCCCAAACCCCATCGGTATTTTAAGTTGATCATGATGTGTATGTTCGCCAGGTTTGGTTCAGATCCATAATCTCTGGGACTGACATGGCTCTCCAGATATGGGTAGACTACAACTCCCATCATCCTCTGTCAATCTCTACCCCATCGGTATTACTGTTGGCCATGTTGGATAAGTGTGCCAAGTTTGGTCTAGATCCATATTTGATGGGATTTACACAGCTCTCCAGATATGGGAGCTATCCTGGAAAACATATAAATGCATGCATACTAGACAGACAGACAGACAGACAGACCGATCGACCGATCGATCGATAGATAGAGATATGCACACATACACAGAAACCTACGTCTGGACACATAGTATCCTTATCTAAATAATGCAATTCTGATGTTCAAACATGTGTTCTGCAGCAATAAAACCCTGCTTTCCATGCAGAACTCCCATTTGTCTCCATCAATTTGAGCAATCACCTTAAGTTACTGTGCATTAACATTTGCACTGCAATGCAGGCCAATTCATGTTTTTAAAAAGCCAAAAAACAAAGCACAATAACTTTACTAAAGAAGGACACTTTTAACATAATCATGCATTCACTCTTCAATTTGCCATCAAGACTGCGGCACCAAAACATATGCACAAACGGCAGAAAATAGCTGTAAAAGTGAACATGCATGCACACAACACTCCAAATACCTTTTCCATTTCAGAGTTTGCGGCTAAACATTCGTAAAGAATTACAGCTAAATAAAACTTGTAAGACAGTCCAAAAACACCCCTACTGGAGGTCGGCACATAAACTCTTAAAATGAAATGAAATAAATGCAGGTTACTACCTTCTGTTCCAGATATAATACGGAGGCTGGGGAAGGGGAGCTACTGTAGTTTCACATATGCTTTTTTGACCTCCTGGCCTGACCCGCATGCCAGCATTCACCAGCTGCAGGTCATGACCTCACAAATTAGCATCATGAAAATAAGAGCCGTTTCAGGTTCAGCTTCAGAACAGACCACTATATCGGGCCTGGATTTAATGAGCCCATAAAAATCTGTTTCAATATCCTTGCAAGGAGAGAAGAGTAAACCTCATTCCCGTTTCCGATTACCGCATTTCAGACCAATATGCTAAAATCGGCAAAGAAAACACAATCCTTGCCCAAGGACAAAGCAAACCTTCACAATTCATATGTTTTCAGATGGAACATATATCTAAGGGCCTCATCACACTTGAATATTTTTCCACTTAGATCCACTTTAAATGCTATGACTGCCTTGTGCAGAATTCTGGGGTCTGTTGTTTAGGGAGTCCCAGGGCTTCTCTGGATGAGCAGTTTAAAGGTTCTTCCCTAATCTACGAGACCCAGAATTCTGCTGTGACTGTGGATTGAAATGGAAAAAGTGTGACAAGGCCCTAAAACTGTACATGGTGTGATGTGATTGCACTTAAACTTGCTAAGTAATTTCTACTGTGGACAAATTCAATTTGTGCCAAAACATTAATTCATTTGGAGGCTCACGACAACAGCTTATCTGTTGCTAAAGCAAATATTGGAAATCCGTAGTTAAATCTGCGATGTCTTGGACTAGTTCTCATTGTTTAGATCTTGCTGTGAAGGGTGATTGTATATCTTTCTGAAAAAAGGAACTTAATGAAAAGGAGGGGACGCCATGCTTTTCCCTTGGACTTCCAGCAGGGGGAGCTAGCATCCTCAGGCATAAAAGCCAATACAAGCGACGCTTGAATTTTATTTTTAAATCTACATTTGATTAAATAGCAACCAAGATTATCTGTTTGGAAGCCTAGTAATGAGTAAATATCTAAGTTACATGCTTACCTTTTTCAGAAAATTCTTGAGGGTAACTGCAAAAGAGGAAAAGGGAAAAAGAGAATATTGTAAGTATGTAGCAAAAGTAAAGAAAGCTGCGTATTTCTAAAATAGCAACAACAAAAGATCAAAAAACAACCAAAGTCCAATTTTGAGAACATTTTAGTGTTTGCCACAGTTATCCAGAAAAATCTTATTTTAGCGTTTCATGCCCAAGAGATTGACATCTGCATGTTTACAATGAACAGCATCAACAGATAAACATCTTTATCTGGTCAGATGCTTGTTTTTTTTTAAGCAATATATTAATTCTAATAGTTTGTAGGTGTTTCAGTTGCATTTGCCACTGTTGCCCTCCAACAACTGGCATTCAGTGAAACACAGAAACTGAACTTAAACCACTTTACAGAACTTTCCATTTTCCACCATTTCTTCTCTTCTTGCTAATCATAAGACGAAAAAATCATAAAATTCCTAGCTCTACTGAACCATCAATATTTGCGAAATATTTCTTTTATTTATTGTTATAATGTATCATAGTTCTTCAATCTTCAATGCATCAATCGTAAAACAACACCAACAAAAAAGCCTCTGTGTGTGTGTGTTTGTGTATGTCATGTGTGTGTGTGTGTGTGTCTAGACTGACTCTCAAAATCAGTAGAACTGGGAATAAACTTTAAGAAAATGAAATGGATGAAAAAAAAACAAGGGCGCATCATTATAAACACAGATGAAACTGAGAAAGTGACTGACTATGTATATCTTGGTCAACAAGTACAGGTGAATAATTTGGCAAATGGTGAATGAGCAAGAAAACGCAAGGCTGCTTGGAAAGCTTTTAATCAGAACCAGACAGTGCTAACAGATGATAAGCTGCCAATAAAGGTCAGAGCAGATATCTTCGACGCTACTGTCTTACCGGCAATGTTATATGCATCTGAAAATGGGCAACAACAAAGTTAGAGGAGAGTAATGAAAAGGATGTGTGGTGTGACACTAAGAGATAAAGTTAGCAATAAAGAGCTGCATTGAAGAACCAGGGTATGTGACATGGTCAATGAAATCTATGAGGCAAAAAGAAGATGGCCAGGGCATATAGCACAAACAAAAGACAACCACGAACTAGATACCAACAGACCACAAGTGGTCCTTGATGGGACGAACCAATGGTTAAGCTATTTGGCCAGAAATGGAAAAGCAAAGCACAGGATTGTATATTTTGGCAAATGGTAGAGTTGCATGAAGCCCAGAGGAGTGGCTCAATGACAAATTGGATAGGAGATATATATATGTGTGTGTTTATATATATATATATATATATATATACACACACACAAGCCATCCCCTATAGCCCAGTCAGGTGATGTGGGAAATAAAGTAATGAGAAAGTGTGGATTTCTAATATATGTAATTTCTTTATGCTTGTTGGGTAAACAGTATTTCTTGCTGTTTCTTTGTCAGTGTTGATGTGGAGATTGTCTGGTTTGCCTACTCTGAAACATGCAACATATAATTGTCCTTCTTTAGGAATCCCTTTCAAATCTATGATACTATATCTCTCTGTGTGTGAATCATATCTATCTATCTATATCTATGGTTGGATGGCTCTTTGTCAGAAGGGCTTTGATTACGTTTTCTTGCCCCGGTGGAGGGATTTAGACTGGATAGCCTTAAATATTTTCTGTTGGTCATGGGGGTTCTGTGTGGGAAATTTGCCCCAATTCTGTTGTTCTGATTTGGAAGTGAGGGCGATCTGGCTGCGACATCTGTCACCCCATTGATCGCCAGGGTTGATTCGGCTGATCTGGCTGGCTAGGCGGGTGTCCCCTTCCTCCCTCACCGCTCTATGTGCGTCCCTCCCGAAGCTGTGCGCTCGGTGGAAGAGGACGACGTCCCAGGTATTGAAGGAGTGTACCGAGGTCTCCAGTCTTCGGTCCCGGGTTTACGATAGCTGCGCTCCCCTGCTAGAACCTCCAAACAAGCTCAAGGTCCATATTTGGGCATTTTGAGTATCAGTGCCAAGTTTGGTCCAGATCCATCATTGTTTGAGTCCACAGTGCTGTCTGAATGTAAGTGAACTATAACTCCAAAACTCAAGGTCAATGCCCACCAAACTCTTCTAGTGTTTTATGTTGGTCGTGAGAGTCCTGTGTGCTACGTTTGGTTCAATTCCATCATTGGTGGAGTTCAGAATGCTTTTTGATTGTAAGTAAACTATAAATCCCAGCAACTACAACTCCCAAATGACAAAATCAATTTTTTTAGTGATGGTCACTCCTTGGGTTAGTAGGTGTCTTGTGGCCAAATTTGGCGGCAATTCGTCCAGTGGTTTTTGAGTTATGTTAATCCCACAAACGAACATTACATTTTTATTTATATACTAGCCATCCCCTGCCACTCGTTGCTGTGGCCCAGTCTGTGAATATGTGTTTTGTGTGTGTGTATGGTTTGCGCATGTGTTGTACCATCTTTTTGCTTTTTTGGCTCTTTAAGTCCCTTCCCCCATGTTTTTCACTGTTTTTATGAGTGATGGTCACTAGTTGGCCTGACAGATGCATTGTATCCAAATTTGGTGTCAACTTATCCAGTGGTTTTTGAGTTATGTTAATCCCACAAACGAACATTACATTATAATATATATATATATATATATATATATATACACACACACACACACACACACACACACACACACACACACACACACACATACACACACACATATACATACATACACACACACACACATACATACAGTATATTTTAAAGATGTTTAGATAGGGGGAAAGTGCATCTTAGAATCAAAAGAGTACAGTAGATATTTTATACGAAAAAGAAGTTAGTAGCTCATATTACTTATAAATGTTTCCCTCCTCTCTCACACACAGAGATCTCCAAAAACAATTAAAATTGATCTTCTGCCTTCCAAAATAGATATTTAAGTGAGAGATACTGTTTTCTCACTATTATGATTCCATAAAGTATTCCTACTTCATAATATCATTACTATTAAATGCAATCTTCAAAGCCTGCAAGCATATTCATGCTTATTTTATTTTTTATAGAAGTCATGAAAGACTCCCAATCATTTTTTAAATGTCTATAGATTCATTTACCATACTAAACAACTTGACCATTTCTGCCATTTCAATCATCTTTATAATCCAATTTCCTCCAGAAGGTAAATTCGGGTTCTTGCAGCAAGAACTAAATAATGTATTAATTTGAAATTCAAATTTTTGATTTGAATAGCTGATAATATTTAAAGGCTGTCTTTTTACTTGACTATCCCCTAAGTCTATTTTAGTTTGTTGCACCATTCCTCTTAGTCCCTTTAACGTGGAAAATAAAGCCATATCTTTATTCACAGAAGCTTGGAACAGAAGGATTCATAGAATCATAGAGTTGAAAAAGACGATAAGGGCCATCTAACCTGACTACCCGACATCCTGCATGAACATAAACATTTTAAGCAGATGGTCCTCCAGCCTTGCTTAAAAACTTCCAAAGACAGAGACTCCACTACACTCCGAGGCAGTATATTCCACTATTACCATCAGGAAGGGCTTCTGGATATTCAGAAGGAATCTATTTTCCTGCAATTTGAATCCATCGCTCCATGTCCTAGTCTCCAGAGCCACAGAAAACAGGCTTTCCCCCTCCTCAATGTGACATTTTTCTAAATATTTAAATGTGGCTATCATGTCCCATCTCAGACTTTTCTCTAAGCTAAACATACCAAGTTCCCTAAGCTGTTCCTCATAAGGTTTGGTTTCCATTTTGGTCACCCTTCTCTGGACATGTTCCAGCTTATCAATATCCTTCTTGAGTTGTGGTGCCTAGAACTGGACATAGTATTCCAGATGAGGTCTAACCAAAGCAGAACAGAGTAAGACTATGACTGCCCTTGATCTAGACACTATACTCCTATTAATGCATGCTAGAATTGCATTAGCTGCCGCCTCACACTGTTAGCTCATGTTCAGCTTAAGGTCTACTAAGACTTTTAGATCTCTTTCACATGTAGTGTTATAGCTTGGAAGACACAGAACTTAAGTACTGATTGGCTGTATTAATTGACTGACAAGTCACCTTGTGTGCCCTATCAGGAGGAAGGTGGAATATAATGTAAATAAAAGCATCTCATTTCTAATGAGCCAAGGCATTGACCTCTCTGACTCATCCTCTGTTTTGATATCCGCCAGCAAGCCAATGCCTTAAATCAAGAAACAGCTTCTTAAGATCTACTGAGATACTTGCAGAAACACCTCCGCAAGCGAGAGTCCAAAAGTGGCAGGTTAAAACCCAGAACCTCAATCAGTGGCTGATACCAGATGAGAAACTTCCTCCTGGGCACACAGAAGACTGAGTGATTTGGAAGGTGCTGAACAGACTGCGCTCTGGCACCATGAGATGCAGAGCTAACCTTAAGAAATGGTGCTACAAAGTGGAGTCCTTGACATGTGAGTGTGGAGAAGAGCAAATCACAGACCACTTACTACAATGCAGTCTGAGCCCTTCCACATGCATAAAAGAGGACATTCTTACAGCAATACCAGTGACACTCCAAGTGGCCAGCTTCTAGTCAAAGGAAATTTACTTCTGACACAATAAAAACATTTCTAATGAGCATTTTAAAAATTAACTGTATGTCAACTGTATGAATCAAGGCTTTGGAGTACAACTCCCAATATTCTCCAATGTGCTGCCTAGGAAATTCTGGAATCATAGTCCAAAAATGGTTCTGAATTACATGGGTAAGAATTGAGGCAGGAAGACATACAGGCTTTAAAAAAGACTAGCTCAGTCAACATATAAATTGGTTCTGCAGCACCAAATACTGTCCCCATGAGGAGTTTGAAAAATGCAAAGAATGCATTTACATTGTAGAATTAATGCAGTTTGACACCGCTTCAACTGCCATGGTTCAATGCTATGGGATCATGGGGGATGTAGTTGGATAAGACGTCAACACTTTTGGCAGAGAAGACTGAAGATGTTTGTAAAACTAACAATTCCAGGATTCCATACCATTGAGCACTGAAAATGTGGAGGCAGTGACAGACTTTGTATTTCTAGGTGCAAAGATTACTGCAGATGCAGACTGCAGCCAGGAAATCTGGAGACGCTTGCTTCTTGGGAGGAGAGCAATGACCAATCTTGATAAAATAGTGAAGAGTAGGACATCACACTGGCAACAAAGATCCGCATAGTTAAAGCAATGGTATTCCCCATAGTCACCTACAGATGTGAGAGCTGGACCATAGGGAACGCTGAGCGAAGGAAGGTAGATGCTTTTGAACTGTGGTGCTGGAGGAAAGTTCTGAGAGTGCTTTGGACAGCAAGAAGATCCAACCAGTCCATACTTCAAGAGATAAAGCCTGACTGCTCATTGGAGGGAAGAATAGTAGAGGCCAAGATGAAGTACTTTGGCCACATCATGAGAAGAAAGGAAAGCTTAGAGAAGACAATTATGTTGGGGGAAATGGAAGGAAAAAGGAAGAGGGGCCGACTAAGGGCAAGATGGATGGATTGTATCCTTGAAGTGACTGGATTGACCTTGAAGGAGCTGGGGGTGGTGACGGCCGACAGGGAGCTCTGGCGTGGACTGGTCCATGAAGTCATGAAGAGTCGGAAACGACTGAATAAATTAACAACAACAGGTGCACTCCTAGTTCAACACTCAAACCACTCTATTACACTGGTTCTCAATGTAAATCATAGCTTTTGGTGAAAAGAAAATTCATGTACTGTAAAATGCACTGAATATGTATGTAATTACTCACTTGGACTTGATGTCCTTTATCTTCTTAATCAGAGCATCCTTCTTTTCTTTTGCTCTTTTGGATAAATTTTCTCCTTTTAAAATATCCGATACAAATGTGTCAACATCTAAATCACAAAAGGATAGAGAGAGAAAAAGAAAAAGATGAGTTGAAAGGAGCAATGATAATTTTCAGAAGATAAATACGTCTATTATGGTTTTTCTTCATAAGGCAATAATAGCCAAACTATCTAATGGAGTTACTTTATCAGTCCTAGGCATAATATAATTGAAAGATATTTCAAACTCTAAATTGGAAAAATTTGTTCACTGCTGTGCTTATGCTTAGCGCAGCAAATGCTGTTTTGACATTTGCCATCATTAAACGAACAAAAATCCAACAAGTTTTAATAAACTGTCAAAGAGTGTAAAATATATACACACCCCATTACTTGAGGAATAAAAGCTAGAAGACAATAAACTGTTTAATGCACACATGATTGCCACAAAATCAAATATCATTTGGCACTTTCATTAACAAAATCCTGTTTTCGGAAGTGACCACAATACTTGCAGCACTGGATTAAAGTGGCCTCAATCTTGGAGAACTGCATGTAAAAGCCCCATATTAAATTGATGAGTGACCTCAACAGCATTAACAGAATTACGCCAAGGAAAGAGGATCTGATATCTCTGTAATTAACATTTGCATGAGAAAACTAAATTATAAGTATCAGGGTATTCTACTCGTTAAAACATGAAAATAAGAACATAGTTGCAAGAGGAACAAAACATTATGGTTACATTTTTGCTCTTTATTGAAGTTTTGTAAGCTTCTTGAGATCTAATCAAAATGTTATTCCCGCTTTTAATCACACTGAAATTAACTAAGAAAAGTTAGATATACTTCCCACTTTTTCAACATGACAAAAATCTGAAACCAAACTTTATCAAAGTTACATCAGATTGAACTGTGAATTTCAAATCTTTTAACTAAAATCAAATTATTTACAATTTCTTAGACAGATTAGTTTAGTACTTTGACAGTACGCTCAAATTTACTGGAATGTTGTAGTTGGAAACCAGTTTCCTAACTAAAGGTTCCTTAGGACGCAGCTACATGATAGAATTCATGAAGTTTGACACCACTTGCAATGGAGTCCTCGGATTTATAATTTGCACTCTTCAATAGAGAAAACAAAAGACCATGTAAAACTACAACTTCTATTATGCTATAGCATTGAGCAATAGCAGTTAAAGTAGTATCAAAGTGTATTAATTCTACAGTGTAGACAGACCCTTAGTTTTCATGGAATAATGGGGAATAATTTTCAGCAAAGATGGGCAATTGTGCCCCCACCAAATTTTGAATTGTAAATCCTTTGCAGTGCTCACCATCGCTGATGAGGTTTGCAATTCAAAACTATTTACAGGCAATCCCCAAGTTACAAACAAACGACTCACAGTTAAAAATGGTGGTGAGACAACAGGAAATGAAAGAAATCTGCCCCTCGGAAGAGAAGTGCACTCCTAAAAGAGTTATCATGAGGAAAAGGTGTCTCAACTGAAGTTTTATCACCAATCCTTGTTTCCTCAACAAGCCAAATTTTCCAAAATTCAATTATCATACAGACAGAAAGTGAGGTGAAATCTCCTGAACAGGGCCACAGACAGTAAAACACATGCCACATGGATGTTAACTCTTTCCTATGCTATCCAAAACCAGAGGGGGGGGCTGGATTTAGACTTAAAATATACATTTTCTGACCAGTTCTGACTTACATGTATCCAAGGCTCAGAGCAGGTATCACAACTGCATTATTCCCGCCCCGCCCCCCCAAGTACTAAACTGCAACAACCATCAGTCTTAACCAACACTATCAATGGTGAGGAGTGCCTGGAGTGGAGTGGGAGCAATTCAGAAATAACTAGAAAGCAAGGCTTTGTCCATCCAGGACTTAGAAAATCTGTGGAACTGGCTGACTTCTGATGTTCCAGTGACTTGAGAAAATAAGCAGTGCTCATTTTGCCAGTTTTTATGGAAATAGGTCCATTTATTTACCAAGCCAAGCGAGGATGAGCCATCTGTAGAGGCCATCAACTTGGGCAGATGGCAAAATCAATAGCAGACTGGGAAGAAATCCAAGAAGATCCCTCTAAATTTGGTGAATGTGCAACAAATTGGCAAATGAGAGTCAGTGGAAGCACATGCAGCAGAGAGGGAAAGTAGAAAGCCATACTGTGGAGACCACATGAGCTAACTCCCTGAAATCATCAACAACATGTGAAAAGGGCCCACACAATGTTAAGAAATAGCCAACAACAGAACTACCAATATTATAAAGGAGTGAAAGACTACGATGGGCTCTTGGCATCCATAGTGTTTTGGTTCCATATATGCAGTGATGTAATAAAATAATGATCCTTGCATAAAATGGCAAAATCAATAAACAGTAATTTCAACTCTTGGGTGGATGTACCTGTGGATACAAAAAGAGACCAATGGCTATGAATCATAATAATTACCTAATGACCCCATCATAGAAATAAAGGGACAGAAGAATACCATTGTCCTCATGACCTACTTATAGTCTTCTCATGGGCACCTGGTTGAACAGTGGGAGGTGCTGAACTAGACAGACCATTGACCTGATCCAGCAGGATTGTTCTTACCTTGTTATAATACATTGTATATATCTCTACAAGGCAGTTGGAAGCAAGGGCATTGCATATATCATCATATAGTATTATCTCTCCATTGAAGTTAGACAAATTCCTAGTGTTGAGCATTTCTACCTCCAACTAAAGACATATTTGTTTAACCAAATATTTTAATGATTTTTTGATAAATTGTTCTTAATAGATTGTGATAAGCAGTAGCAATTGGTTTTAATGTATCTGTTTTTATGCTGACCGTTGAATTAAGTAAATTTTATGTTATCTTATATTATCTTTATTATAAACAATTGGAGATTTTAAACATAAAAAGCAGTGTGTAAAAGTTTTCTCTTTTTTTAAGAACACACATCTGATTACACTATCAAAAGGATATCAAGGAACTATTAAAAACTAGAGAAGTACATTCAAAATTACAAATGAATGGAAGTAGAAAAACTTCAACAGAAATAAAAAATAGAGCATCTGGTGGTTGTGCTTTTTTCTCAGTTGAGGACAATAATGACTAATAACAGACTGGACAAAAAGTGATGACATTTATAAATGGTGTGGAAAGACAGGAAGGAGGAAGACAATTTTATCCTTTTTCAATTCTAGAACTTGGAGTGACAAATGAAGTTATCACTAGTACATTCTGAACAGATATGAAAGCCAGAGTGGATAGAGGGTTGCATATTAGACTATAACTCTGGAGACCAGGGCACAAATCTCTACTTGGGCATGGAAATCCACTGGATGACCCTGGGCAAGTCACATTTTCTCAGTCTCAGAGGAAGGCAATGGCAAATCTCTTCTAAATAAATCTTGCCAAGAAAATCCCAGAATAGGCCTTAGGGTTGCAGATGTTGCAAACAACTTGAAGGCACACAACAGTACCAGGTGCCTCATATAACACACAATTAAATTTAGGAACTCAAAATACAATGAAGGCTGCCAGCTCAGATGGCATAAATTTAAGCAAATTCATTGAGGTCATGTCTATCAAAGTTCTTAACTATGACAGTTATGAAGAACCATTACCATAGTTGTTGACATTACAGACTTTATGGATGAGAGTTTCCACTATTCCTTACCATTGACAACACATGACTAATGATTCTAAGGGTTGAGATCCAAAATACCTGGTAGTCAAAGATTCCTCATCCAGACTCTTTGTCTACATGCGACTGTAGTCAGCAACTGGTGTTCAAACAATGAGCAAGGGTTGTTGCCTTCATATTCTCTATCAGGGTTTAGCAACTGAGAGTTTAGCCCTCCTTAAACTTTTTGTCTACAATTCCTATCTGCCCTAGTCGGCAAATGCAATGATAAGGAATTATGTGAGTCAGGCAAGAACAAGGAGAAGGCCATAGTAGTTCACTCTTCTCCTATCTACACAACTTTTCACCAAATCTATCAACAAGATGCTGCAGAAAATAGATTTTCTGATTCAAAAGAGTTACACTCTTAAACTCTACATGCAGCTGAACTAGTAGACCTAACTGAAAAAGCAACTAGAATCCACATACAATTAGTCAGATATTCACTTGATTATAATGAAAATAGATAGATCAGCAATAATATACAATGAGCTCACATACGAGGGTTGAATGAAAAGTAATGCCTCCACCTTCTTAACTCCTCAACAGATGGCAGTACTGGTATGCGGCAGGTACTGGCTCATTAGTAGACTCTCCTCTACAGTTCCCTTTTGGTGGGAAGCCTTAGAATTGAACGGTTGTGTTGTTAAAGTGCGAAGTATGGAACCCTGCGCAGACGGTCAGTCAATGCGACTTAAGCAATGTGTAGTAATTGAATTCTTGACAGCAGAAGGTGTCACCCCAAAGGAGATTCATCAGAGAATGCAAGCTGTTTATGGTGATTGTGTTATGTGAGTACTGTGTGTTGTTGAGTGAATAAGTTTAAAGATACTGAGGTGGGAACAACTGACTTGTGTGACAAACAAAGAGTTGGACATCCTGTGACAGCAACCACGGAGTTTCACAAGCAAAAGGTTCTGTGACATCTTTCAAAAACTTTTTCATCGTTGGCAGAAATGTATCAAATTGTGTGGTGATTATGTGGAAAAGTGAATAGTGGTATTTAAAGAGCACATTCTAAGGATTGTTTCTGTGTTTGATTTATTAAAATATTCCCATCCAAACCCAAGTAACGAAGGTGGAGGCATTACTTTTCATTCAACCCTCGTACTGCTAGAAAATTTCCCAACCTGAGTTAGAATAGGTTGCTATGAGTATTCTGGGCTGTATGGCCATGTTCCAGAAACATTATCTCCTGACGTTTCACCCACATCTATGGCAGGCATCCTCAGAGGTTGTGAGATCTGTTGGGAACTAGTCAAGTGAGGTTTATATATCTGTGGAATGTCCAGGGTGAACAAGAGTTCCTTCTTCCATCCTGGACATTCCACAGATAAATAAATCTTACTTGCCTAGTTTCCATCAGACCCCTC